AGATTGTGCCAGCCTAAGTCCAAGCTTTTCTTCAGCCAACAAATAATTACATTAAAACGTGGAGACCTGGATTTTGGCTAACTTGGTCATCTCTGGTTTGAAGAAAAATGGCTGTCGCTGGGTGAATATTTATTGAGAAAGAGTGCTTCTCACTAGAACGTGATTATTTATGTACATCATTGTTATGCATGAGCAACAGTTTGCTGAATATCTTTAAACCAAAGTCTTTCAGTTAAGAATCGATGATTTGTTAACGCCAAAACTTCAAATAGTAAGGCTCAATGTACAAATAACAATTATCATTGCCAAAATGTTCAGTTAAAAGTCGTTTAAATATGTCTGCAACATCGCTACCAATATCATTGTTATGGTTCTGTGAAGAAAATTGAATAATCGACAATGAGCATATTTTATTTACTAGTAGTAATCGAAGACTAGCTTGGATAGTTTGGATCTTAATTATGTTTACAAAATCTTGTTTTAATATTTTAATATTGGAAAAATGTTGAAGAAATTGAAGTAAATAATTGTTATTGTTATCATCATCGTCAATCTCTAAACTCGTTAAATGTAATTCAATAATTTGTTGGAACATCAGAGCGTTGATAGGGATGCACGAGAGATTTTTAATGATTCGATGTATACTAACATCGTCAATCTTCAGAGTACGAAGGTTTGGTAACATTGAAGAAAAATGTTGTTCAAATAGTTGCTGATTTGAAGCTAAATATTTACAAATGATTGTGTTTATATTTTCAAGTATAAACAACGATTCATCAGCGTTTATCAGTACTCGACAATTGTAAAGATAAAATCGAAGACATGTCGCATTTCTGAACATTTTTAATATTCGATATTCTAATGGTCTAAATAAATCAAATGCATTTGGTGTTACCATAGAAGTATTTGACAATATACCCCTATCAAATTGAAATGTGCCATCGTTAAGATTATTATCAAAATTCGATTGATAATTATCAATGCCATTCGATACACAATCAATATCACTAAACACAAATGGTAATGAATAGAGATAAAAACTAAGGTTATACGCATCTGTATAACATATAACGTTCTGTCTTCGTTTTAATAACCAATATTCACTTTTAAATGATAATATGAATGAATCATTTTTTTGTTGCCTTTTATAAGGAAAACGAAAATAAAAATTGAATTCCATTAAATTTGATAATGTCGATAATAAATTAACTTCCATACGTTGACCGTCAATAACAGAGGACTCGGATAAATAACCGATACTTATTGATAAATGTATTAACGAAATAATATGGCTAATTAATACTTCAATTAACTGATAACCATTCGAAAATGGAATCTGATTAAAATGTAGTTTTAAGTTGGTCAATGAAGGAATTTTCGTATGAAGTATATTATCAATTATATTATATCAAACCATTTGAATTTTATATTTAATTGTTTAATATGCGGTATAAAATCCAATAAAATCAATAATTGACTGTAAAACTCGAGTTCAATTCTTCTAATAAGAAATTATTTTTATCAAAGATACATCTAGTGATACTGTTAGATAATGAAATATGTTCATCCATTGTAATAGTCAAACAGTATAAATTTTGTACAAGTTTTTTGTATAGTTCTAAATCTTGTTCCTGCCTACAATATAAGTTTAAATATTTTAAATTGTTAAATGAATTAAGATGTTTTGAAAATAAATGAAGTTGTTCGGTTGAACAATGTTCATCGCCTAATTTTAAAGAAATAATGTTCAAAGCAATTGACGGTATTATAGTAGAACAAAAATAATTAAAAAATTTATAGGATATACGTCTAAGATCAATATCATTCACATAATAATTTACAAGTAATCGATTAAAACGTCTATTTTGAGCAAAAAATAAATAGAGAATTTCACTTCGTTCAATATAATCGAAAATTTCTATTAGAACATCGTTTGATAATATTTCAAATGTAGTAATCAACATTCTAAAAGATATAGAAACTATGTTTATGTCTGCATGAAATCTGCAACTTCCAATAAACAATTGAAATTTGTTCTTTATATTCCATTCATATCAAATCAAAGAAAACAATAACTTGATTCGTGCAGTCGAGAGAAAGCTGATTAAAGTTTTGTTTAAACTGAATTTCGAACCAGTATTTGATCCTACTCCATCATGAAATACACGAGTAAAATGTTTTCTTGGAGTCAGTTACAGTCAGTTACAGTTGTTGGATAAACGTAGAACAACTCCTTTTGCTTGCTTTTCAGCTTGTCCAGCTAACGCCTCCGATTTTTCGCTCTTTTTCAAAAAGTTATCGCAATAAAGCTACAAACTAATCTAAAATTTCAACTAGATAATTAAGTAGATTAAACATTTCTCTACAAAATGAAAAGTGTCTCGGCTCTGAACGCTGATTCGTTATGAAAATACAGCTGTTGTACAAACAGCTCCAAAAATCGAGTTTGGGCTATCTTAAAAGCGTATCTGACAGAGTGAAGACGAGCTGGTAAACATTGAACAAGTATACTACAGTGTGGAAAATTGCTTTCTCTACACTATTGCAATAGCTTCTCAAACTCGTAACTATAATATAATGCATAAATATATCCGTCTTTATGTTCAGTAAAACTTCAAAATTAATTCGTTTTATTGACGAAGCCAACCGTAATAAATAATCTTTTCTTTCTGAATACGAAGGAAAATAACAGGCATGTTTATCAGCGAAATTCTTAATCATTTCTATATGATATTTCACATTTTCGCTGTGGATTATGCCACACCCTAGTTTATGTAAATCAACTGACTCAGCATACGCTTCATTTTGAACTATTTTCTCTCTCACATACATTTGTAAAGTGCTTGTGCGCGCCGCTCATGTAAAGCTACAAAAGATGAATAAAAAATGAAATATTAACGTACACTTAACACTTACGAACGATTACAGTTAGCTGCAGCTGTTGTATGCCTTGAACTGCATTAGTGAAACATCTCGTAAGCCAGATCTTGCTCAAAGTACAGGAATCTTGAAATGTTTACACACAAGATAATTTGATCACCTTGCACCAAGACCTTGTGTCATGATCTTAGATACAAATATTTCAAGGTCTTGAACATTTTAAAAATCGTCATATTTCGAAAATAACTTTTTTCTTTGCATTTTCTTAAAAAGTGTTGAAAACGCAAAAAGGTTCACACTTCAGTGGTGAACATATCATCCGCTAGGATGACTATTCCCTAATGCCTCTCTCGTGGAGTTTTGACTCTACTGTGGACAAAAAACAGAGTAACATCAGACACAAAATAGGGTAAAATAGTAAAGGTATTTTTGTATCATAAATCTGGAGTGCAACACATATGACAGTCAGGATCTTGGATCCAAGTTAATTGTTAGACATTGTACGCAAGATCATGGGCGAAATCTTGGGAGCAAAAGTATCTTTTTGAAATTCTGAAATTCTGACATTTTGTATAAACGCGACTATCGCACATGGCGTAAGGATAACCTTGCAATGCTGAAATTCTGACATTCTGTGTAAATGTCACTATCCTTATACCGTGTGCAATAGTCACATTTATAAAAAATGTCAGAATTTCGAAGTTACCCTTATACCGTGTGCGATAATCAGATTTAAACAAAATGTCGGAATTTTAGAATTTCAGAATTTCAGAGTTATACTTATGCCGTGTGCGACAGTTGCACTTATACAAAATGTCAGAATTTCAAAGTTATCCTTACACCGCGTGCGATAGTCACATTCATGCAAAATGTCAGAATTTCAGAATTTCAATGTTGTCCTTATACCGTGTGCGGTAGTCACATTTATACAAAATGTCAGACTTTTCGAATTGTACAATTTGAAAACTTCAGAATTTCAGAAGTTTAGTATTTAGAATTTCAAACTAATAGTTATACCGTGTGCCAGAGTTACGCCTATACAAAATGCATGAGTTTCAGAATTTCAGAGTTATAGTTATACAGTATTTTTGAATTTTTGAATTTTTGAATAAGTACTTTTTCTTCGTACCACCTTTATTTTTATTATATTCCAAACGTTTCGATTGAGAGTTCAATCTTCATCAGTGGATACAAACATTAATTAAATTA